TGTTGAGAAACAGAATCATTGACGCCTGAATTTTAAGATATGCATTAAATAGATAATAATAATAGTAATAATATTTACAATTTAAACAATGTAATAAACTCTATACAAACCCGTTTGAACCATCGACTACGTAATACACCTGTCTCGAAAAGATCCATCGGGATCTTGCAGTCGATTCTGGGAGTTTAGCTACTTAAAAGCTAAAAATTTTTGCTACTGTCTGATTGTCTTCCATTAATGTCTGATCGTATTCATTAACAGCACAAATGGGAATGATCAAATAATATCATCAAAATGATGGATCCACTTTCGCCGTTCTGACCTCTGTCCACCCACGTCGAAAACCCTGAAGTCAAAACGAGATGACAGGAGCTTTTTTCTATTAACGGGGAGGGCGGTGGTTTCTTTAGGATCATAGGTTTTATAATAAAAACTAAAAAAGAGCGTTTCTACATGCTTTCTAAACATATAAACTGCAAATTGTATGAAAAATATAAAAATATCGATTTTTCGACAGACATGGTCGGATTTCGATCAAAACGCAAATTTACAAGATCTTGAGACAAATTTTTCTACTTGAAAAATAATTAAATTTTACCAAAATTCTATTAAAGAGTATTCTTCATTGCATTATCCGTACTTCTGACCCAAAAAATGGTACCCGACGTTGAAATTCCGTACGATTTTTGGTTTTAAAATGTCGATATTTCAGCTTGTACTGTCGAAATTCAAATGTAGGCATTTCAAACCGAAATTTGACAATACCGGTACGATTTAGGCCGGGAAAATGCCGAGATATCGACACATTTCCGCATCTTGGAATTTCGGAATTTTGAAAGAAGCATCCGCTGAAAATCAATGACAACTCCACCTGAATATGCACTTCTGAATGGTGATGCACCTGGACAACCCCGTAGCTGGCACCGGGATATGGAGAAAATCATCAACCGTCGGCACGTAGCTCGGCGTAGCGATCTTGATCAAAATCATCCATGAAAACTGGGAAGGGTATGGTAGATGGGGCACCGGATAGGGGGAACCTACTGCCGGAAACTGCCGCCGATTTAAATCTGAGATGTCGCGAGAAGGCTTTTGATGGCAGGGTCTTTCCAGAGATTCTAAAACGTGTACTTTTATTATAACTATTTTTATTACAATTATAAATTGATTTAAGGTTTAATTATAGGTTATTTCTCTTACATGGAGGGCCATTAAAACTCCCCGTGTGAAGCTGTGATCACTTTTCGTGCTTTCGGCTACTGCTAATATCCGCCTGGCGTCCATCTAAATGTTTTCCATTTGATAAATACTTAAATGTATGATAATAAACATTTAATATTTACCTTTAAGAATAGAAAACAATAAAATCTATATATTCTTATAAAAACAAGTTTTTGTTTACACTCTCCTGATCCCTGATCGAAGCCACTTGGTAGATGAACTTGTCTAGGGCACGTATTATCGTTGCCATACCTCAAAAAAACAATTATAACATCGTAATCCGAAAATGCAAGTTACTTACCTACAATAATATTGCTATAAACGTCCTGTCTCTTCTCGGCTGGTTCATTTTGGGCGAAACCTTTGTTGTGGAGGATCTTGGAAAATGGAATTTTTCAAACATAGAAACTACTGCATTTGCTTCAGGATGGTGCTTTTAAGCACATTCGCCCGTGCCTGAAATGGGGCTTTATTTGGGTTATTTTTGTTCGACTGAAAATTAGAATGTTGATATTAAGTTTGTCCAAAAATTCACTTTGTCGAAAAGTAACAGGTCGAAATTCATTATGTCAAAAATATTACTTCAAAGTAGTTTGTCCAAAATTTTTAAGAAATTTCAGTTTGTCGAAAACCAATTTTTCGAAATCTGGGTGTTCGAAATTTCAATAAGCTGGAATTCCAATTTTCGCATTCGACAAGATTATTTTGGTGATATTGATGGCCAATCGCGTTACCATTGCCTGTTTAAAATTGGTTCTGGTGCGTTAGCGGGGGCGGGTTCGCAAAGGGCCTTTTCATGGTTCTGTAGACGAGGCATAATTCGAGATAAGCTACGCAGAATAAGATTTAACGTTTTAGCTATAAAATTCGGTAAAATATTAAGTTTTTGGAAATTTTGAAAAATGTTGAAAATGTAAAATTTTTTGCATTTGGTTATGGCTTTTTAATAATCGGAAACTATGACAAACACTATTAAAAATATTTTACCTTCTATTTTTATCATAATAGGTATTCGGCAGAAGGATGCAACCTACCCCCCCGCTAACAGCCCAGAATCAAAAAATATCCACGGAACTCACCCAGCAACAGTACTTTCTGATTTCCGATCTCTCTCCTCGGCTTCTTTCCTCAAATTCCTGTCAATTCGTTTTGATGTGGCTGCCCTCTCCTATAATATATTATATTTTGGCCTTAAATTGTCTACAGTACCATATTTCCTACAACAGATACCCACCATCCCTCGCCCTCAGACTCCTGCAAACGGATTTTCGTTTGGAGCGAGAGAATTTAGGAAAAAACTACAATTAGAGTTAGGTATATTTGTATATTTTTGGGTATATTGTAAAGTAGGGGCGCTCTTTGATAAGCTTACATATTAAAGGGCTCAGAAGTCAAAATTCATGCGTGCGGGATTGAACCTTCGGGTCAAAAAACGAAAGAGTCACTGCCGAGAAGTGCTAAAAAAGTTATTTGATTGCGAAAAACGTAAAAATACGGAGAAAACCGAATTCTTTTTAAAAAAAACGGCATTTTGAGTGTGCGGGGTTTTCATGTCGTAATGCGTTGTAAGGCACCCAATCTCTCGATCTCGGTGATTCTTTGGTCAATTTTCATAATTTAAAAGTCTGGGATGATCAAAATTCGTTGAGGATTCCAAAAATAGTATCAGAATTTTTAAATTCAAGCGTTTCCGCGTTCAAACAGAGGCAAAAGATCATGCAGCGCGGTCGCGTTGCGGCCGCATCTGGCTATTTGCCAGGAATCACAGCAGGGGGCCGTGGACCAGATTTCGGAGCCTCTTTAAAGAATGTTGGCAAAATTTCCCAAAAATAGCGATTTTGGCTATAATATTGTCCAAATACGTTAATCTACGTAATAAAAAGCGTCTTATTCTTAAAAATATTCTAGAAAAATCGCGCACGCGATTCCATTCCCTAATCGAAAGGCACGGATAGGACAATTGGTACACCGCGCTCCTATCCATGCTCAACTGTCCACGGACGGCAATCTTGCTCTTTCAGTACGAAAACTCCCTTCACCTTTGTTAATCATTTATCTCGAAAATTTAATGGAAAAATCGAAAAACTAAATAGATTAAAATGTTCTGCGAAAATTACATCTTTTGGAGACCACACGAAAATGCTCAAACCATCGAAGTTACCATAGAACGTGCGTACCTTAACCTCGGCTGACGAACAACCTGACCCCATATCATTGGAACATGATAGAATGGAAGGTGCGATGGGGATCACCTTCTATAGAAATTGCAGGCTCTTTTCTTCCTAAAATACGACTGATTTTCAGGTCTAAAACATAAAATAAAAAGGACAATAAAGGTGGTAAACTGCCAGCCGTTTTTAAAACCCGAGGTACCAAAGACATAAGATAAAAAATATGACTTGTCCCTTTAGGGGCCTTGAAAAGACATTAAATATGGCAAACTACGAGAGATTTCTTAGAAAATAAACCGACGAGATTGCAGAAATATAGGTAGAAATATGACTTTTATTATGGTCTGCAAACGACAATAACACGGCCAACTAGCAGAGGTTAATTGGGAATTAACTGGAGATTTAAAGAAAACGAGCAAGATCTGATATTTCCCTCTGGCCAACTGGTATGTTCTCGCGCCCACAACTCCATTAATGACCCGGGTCCAACCCCGCCACGGAAAACTTTTTGCTTTTTTCGGGAAAACTTAAGATAGCATATCTTTAATGCACAATCCTTGAAAATTCGAGAAAAAGTCCTGGGCCCTTCGAATCAATTTGCGTGCTGTTGAGAGGGTCTCCCCTCTGTAATCATGGCATTCCACCTGGCCTCTCACAAATTATAGAGGGGGAGGGCTGCTCTTGCTACCTCATCACCCCCTTCGAAAAACGACAAAATGAGTAGCTCTCTCTCTGAAATGAGGGTGTGAATGAGCCGAAAAACACCACGCGAAAAATGAGCCTATTTTTGGGGGTTGATTGCTTTGGGGGTGGCCATGGTTTCCAAAATGCAACTATTTTTTCAGGAGCATTTTGTTGATGGGCCAAGATCCCGACAACAAAATACCGACATACTAACCAACCAAAACTAAAACACCGAAAAGGCAAACCCCGCCAGCCAAATTTCCGATAGAAGGAAAATGCCGACATGCCAAAACCCCGAAAGTTAAAAGCACGCCCCTTAAAATACCGACAGGACAAAATCCCGACCAACCAAACCTTCGACATGCTGAAAGACCGACACGCGTAAACCCAAATATGGCGGTCGGTATTTTGAATTTCGGAATTTAGCTGCCAGTATTTTTGTCTTATCCACTGTCTAAAAACTCTAGAAATTCCAGAACGTCGGCTCTAGATCTTGTGAGGCAGATCTGGCCAGAAAACAGTGCATTCGCGTACTTTTGAGGCAACCGGGGCGGGCCTTCCGCCTCTCTCTCTGTCTCTCTCTCTCTCTCTCTCTCTCTCTCTCTCTTTGTCTAATCAACCGTCTCGAAGTGTGAATCGTAGTCCTCCCCTTCCCCTAATTGCCCATATCCTTCCTAATTTCCCCGGGGGAATTCCCCCAGCGCCCCGCGCTCCCCAAAAATCTCCAAAATAGGATAAATGGCCGCAAAAATTAAAGAACTCAGGGGTTAGAAACCTTCAAACAAATATTTAAAGCATATTGATAACCTACAGCCATTAAATTTGGTGACTGCGGCACTGGCTAAATGGCAATCCACTTGACACCCCAGGATAACATGCGCAATCGATGGGGAGACCTGTAAAGGCTAGCTCAAGGTCTTGGCTTTCCTTTCTTGATTCGACGTCCGTACACCCTAACGACCTGGGTGGAAAATGACGTGATGGGTTTATAGTCGCCCAGAAAAAACAATGAAAGTGTAGGATTTTCTAATAGCAAAATTCAAGGATCTAGCGCTCCAATGAGGTACTTCCTTCTTTTTTCTTTTCTTTTTAAAAATAAGGGCATCTTACACTTCCAAATTGCGCCATCATTTAAGCCTGGTAGGTGCGGCGCGCAGTTCTGGAACCCAAAACGCTTTGGAAAACGAAATGGTGAGAATATCGGGATGTGGTTCTGCTCAGCCACCTGGTCAGTCCAGCCTCTTCTCATGTCATCGATAGTCAGTCACCGGTCCATGAAGGTGATTGCCTGGCAAAATAAAGAAACTGCGAGCCAAGTTGTTGCTATCAATATCAATTTTTATGAAAAAATTGCGAAAAAATATAGATTTTTCGAATAAAGTGGCCGATTTTTATCAAAATTTCGACTTTCTAACCTTTAAAAGCCTTCAACAAGTTTTCTAGTTCAACACAGTTATTTATTCATAAAAGAGTAATGCTCGCACCTGGCTGTATTCAGACTATTACGCATTTGGGAAGGTAATGATTCTGTGGACCTATAGAAAAAGCTGGGAAAATATATAAAAATCCAAAAAAAAAATTTGCACAGCTATAATTCGAAAGCAATGCGCGCACCGGGGGCATCGATAGCCGCGGGGGTAGAAGGGATCTCATCCGGCAGCATGTTCTTTCTTTTTCGATGGCACTCCTTCGCGTACCCTCGCTAGCAGCCCCTGGTGCTCGTCGATCGCAACAAGCGCCATGCGCATCCACCGAACCGCAGCAGTCGGGAATCATCACAAATTTGCTCACCTCGTTGCAACAGAACGAAATTGGACCGCGAACGAGTTTCCAGCTCCAAAAACTGCCACCAAATATCGCTAAGAATTCAGAGAACGGGAAGAAGATAATAGCAATTTGGCAACAAGATGGCTTTTGTGCAAAACAGACGTTTCCTTCCATTTTCAACGCTAGTTTCACGAAATTGAGGGTAATCGACCTTCATTATACTAAATATGGGCTCGGATTTCACTAAAAAATAGAGCCCGGAGCAGTTAAACAAAGGAATACGTAAACTAAGCTCAAAAACTTCAAATCCTAATCACAAATAAGGACCTGAATAGATTTTCGGTATCTTGTTCTCAAAAGGTGGGCACACGTAGAACATCCTACTATATATAAAAAAATAGTGTGTGTGTGTTCTGTGTAGATTTTGCATCCACTTCCGGATGTATGTTCCGCCTTATAACGGGTCAGGGAAGAAGTTTTCCGGTACAAGCCAGCTACGTCGTTTAAAAGTGGGTAATGGAATGAAGATGACTGCCGACCAATTAGATTTTTCAAAATTTACTATTTTCGACATTAAATTTAGGTTTTTGTAAAATTTCCTTTGTTAGGCAAAATTTGCATGTGCCGGAAGTGGATATTGCCTATAAAATCAAGCCACCGGGCTATTTCCCATTTTCGTCAGCGG